CTTATTAACTATTTTTCTGTTCATTTTAAAAAATCACAATCTCCCCATCTTATAAAATTTGTATCCTCAAAACTTGACAAAAATGATGGAACACTTACTAAAACCATTGAAAAGATGAGGATACGGCTTGAACTTTTTATCCTCGAGCTCTCATGTTTATTCCTCGCATGAATGGCCTTTTTACTTCACCTTCACTGAAATTATGTCCTTTGATATAAATTTTCTTATTTGCCAATATATTATAGCTTTCGATTGCACCTTATAAGTCATATCATCTCTTAATTTAACTGGTCGAACTCCTAACATATGAGATGGATCTGACATATACTTATATAGCATAGAAACGTGGAATACCAAAAGAATAACAAACAAGTTTGATAGTAGTGCTAACCTATAAGTAATTGCTCTAACCATTTTGAGTCTCATACATTCCAATAAATCAATGACATAACTTGTCTTTTTTTCAAACTTGAATATTTATTTGGTCGGTGATACCTTGAAGAACATATAATCACCTACTAAAAACTCTAAATCATGCCTCTCATATTTGCGTACCTCTTATGTCTACTCTAAGATGTTTGAAGCTTTTTTTATCTCATATATCTTATTTGATATAATCTAAATCAACTATGGTTTCATTAGCCTTTTCTCACCAACGTCAAACCAATAGATCGACGATCTACACGTCTAACCATACAAAGCCCCCTAAGGACCCTATTTGTTATTGTTTTTCATCTATACAAAGCAAATTAAGAAAGGGAAAGAGGAAGAAGAAATAAAAAGAAAGGAAAATGGAAAAAAAAATTAAACAAATTATATGTGATGATATATGAAAAAACTATATAGATATTTTATATAAAGTACACATCACTTTAAATATCTCTATAAATATTCTAGATATTTATATTAAATATTTATGAGATATTTCTTAATATATTTATTTTAAAAATGTTTATATAAACAGAGTTTCATATCTATAAATGAAAGGTCTATTAGAGCTTATCTCTCTAGATTTTATTTCTTTAAACTCTATCTCTTTAAACTATATATTAAAAAAAAACACAAATCCAATACAAGATTTAAACAAGACTTTAAGGAACATTCAAGTCTAAAGAATATTTAATCTTTGTCACCTGAACAAATATTATATTGGTTTAAGCTTTGAAATGTTTTTCTTACAGGTGTTGTCCGACTTATCAAGTCCTTTGAGTCTAGTTTTATTAGTCCATAAAAAGTATATATATATATATATATCAAGCCAACATGAATTAACCTAAATCAATCCTTCTAAGTTATAATCTGAGCCTTACCAAGAGTTATCTTAGAATCAAGTTTAAAACTATAATCTAAAGGTGTAATTGAAATATGGTGCTCCATAAGCTAATGTCTTCATTTGGAAGTATCCAATTAACAAAAATATATAGCATATGGGTTTTTTACTTTAACATAAAACATAATTTATTGTGAATTACTATAGTAAAATTATTTTTATACTCCTGAGTTGAAATAAAATGTATCTCAATCCTGAAAGTAATGTAGTCTTTTTCAAAGATTTGTTAGTCATTAAAATATTTTTTGGGGTATCTTTGTATTTTCCAATGTTTTTTGCACAATTAAAATATGATTTTACCTCTAAAGTTTAAAATTTCATGAAATGTTAGCAAAGAGTAATTTAGTCTTTTAAAAAACTTTAAAATGTTTAAAATATCATTTTATCCTTAAGGTAAAAAAAAAACTAGAGTTGTTGACGAAGAGGTTTTTTAGTTTTTAATATTTTAGAATATAGTAGAAATGTGATTATACCTTTAGAAAATACAAAAATCAAGGCATGCGTATAGGGGTATTTGTGTACTTTCACAATGATTTTTTTGTGATTCTTGGATTTATGAAGGGCATTCTGGTATTTTTTTAGTTGGAAAATTATTTTTTTATTTCAAAAAGTTGTTAGGGTGTGACATTCACACACTAATTAGTAGGTGTCATCCACGTTGTGTAGGTGATGTATGTCACACCATCTAGTATATTCTAAAATACTAGATGCATTATTATCTTCTTACTAGATGCATTATTGTCTTCTTTTTCCTATAAAGTGGTGAGTGGCGATGGATGATGGTCGGTTTGTTGTCGATGGTTATTTTTTTTCTTCCCTCTTTTCTAACTCTTTTAAAGAAAGTGCATATTTATTCTCTTATCTTTAGATTTGTTAATTTCAATCCTTATATTTTTTATTATTTATTTTCATCCTTGGTTCTATTATAAAATTTATAATTTTTTTCAATTTAGCTATTGAATTACAATTTGTTATATATTATTTTTCAAATTCAATCCTTATTCTTGTGATTTATGATTTTTTTTCCTTGACACTTTTGTTAAAGTTTTGTTAGTATTTAATTTCATTGTTTATTAAAGATTTTATGGTTATTTTTAATTTGTTTTCTATCAATTTATCATGTTCTCATGACCTAGGCCATGGGTTTTGCAGAACTTTTTTGAATAAACATTTTTAAAACATAATTTTATTTGTGTTTAATTTTTGAATAACTCCTTTTATTTTATACAAGTGAGCTTTATTTTATAAGAAAAATATTTATTCTAAAATAATATTTTTTATATGTTTGGCCTTGCATAATATTTTTTTATTTTATTTTATTCAAACAATCTTGTATTTGTTTTTGTTTCTATTATCTTCTATTCATTTTAATAAGAGAACAAATAACATTTCAATAAAGGGTGAAAATGAAAAGAAATTAAAACAAAAATCATACAATCAAAAGCAAGATAATTAGATCAAATACCAAGACAAAATAAGAGGACAACATTGGATTTTCTAATTGGAAAGCATGTTGTCCAAGGCAAAGAGAGAGAAAAGGAGAAGAAATAAAAAAAAATATTGTAAAAGTCCGACCACTTATCAAACCACCTCAAGCACCCTCTCATTATGGATGACTAATTTTCACCATCTAAATTCTCTGCACACATCATCTAAAATGTAACGAGTGACTTAACACGTTAGCATGTGAATATATGTGTGTGTGTGTGTGAAAAGACTAATAAGTCCTTCAATACTAGTTTAAAAACTCTTAACTTGAGAGGTAACTAAATAAATTTATTGTTCATTTAAAAAAATAAAAAGACTAACTCACCTCTGTTTTAAACCAATAATTACATAAGGATCTAAAGGAAAATATGAATAAGCCCTAAATCCTAGTTAAGATATATTTGTTTAAAAGAGCAACAAAGTTAATTCAATGTGTTTTTTAATTAAAAAAATCAAAATCACCCTTTAATCAAAGCAATTGTTATTTTATTTTTTACATATCAAGGACATCCAAATCATTAAACTATACAATATAAAAAGAGAAATACATCCTAAACCATAATCAAATTGATAATAATTGATTAGTCCATGTGCAATTACAATTGTATCCCTAAAGTAATATAAATGAGTTTTTTAAAGAGAAAAATAGTAAATATATTATTGATGTCCGCAATATATTGAGTATGTATCTATAATGAATTCTCAACCTCCTTTAGGTTTTTTTAATTTAACATTGTTTGGCTGCAAATAACATGAGAAAAATCTAATTAATAGTGGAAGTTAATAAAAGTAGTGTTGTTTGTTTAAAAACATAGTAAATTACTATAAATATTAGTCTCATATACAAAACCATAATATCAAAAAATAATATAAACTTTTAGATTTTTATATTAATCTCTTAAAGTCTTATGCATACATTATTAATCATAATTATAAAACTAAACTTAACTCATAATTTGTTTAAAAGCATGAGTCACAAAGTTAGGTTTTTGAAAGTGCTTGCCACATGTCATGGTTTGACATCATCTAGATTAAAAAAATATATAATTTATATTATTTTTAAATCTACTTATTTTAAAACACGGTGTGAATTTATTTTTAAAAAATTATTTTTTTTATATATTTTAGATTATTTTGATGTGTTTATTTTAAAAATATTTTTTAAAAAATAAAAAATATAATTTTAATATAATTTTTATTTAAATAACCATAATTATATTTTTAAACAAAATAAAACCTGAATAATGACAAATATCCATGCTAGACAGGTGGTAACCAAAAGGACATTTCATCTTCGGTTCCTGTTTGAGTGATATTATTTTTTATAATACGACTCAATAGTCAATATATCAGCTGACTCATATACTTACAACTGTCTACAGTTATTTTTTTATTTTTATGTATTACTCCTTTGTCTAGTGCTTATTATTCCTTACTAATAATAACAATGACAATAATATTTTAAATAATTAAAACTCACTTAACCTGGTTGAATTTAGAAAAACTAAGTGGAGTTAACTTGTTTAGATTGGTCTCGGTACTATGAACATATGTAATCGTGGCTCCTGAGATAGTTGATTAGATGGCTCCTGAGATAGTTGATTAGACACTGCTTTAGACCAGCTTAGATTTTAGATTATAGTTAATTACGTGTGTTATTATTAAAACTGTTGATCAAAATAATTGCAGTAGATCTCAAGAAAAAATACAGTCCGAGAATATCACACGTGGCGCCCGCTATGCGTTTTACCTACTTAATAAGAATTTTTATGGTGATAAGAGTTTAAATGGTGATATTTTTTTTATAATTATTTGTATTTATTTAAAAAAAAACATAAAATTCCTTTGTATTTGTCTCAATTAAAAATATTTTTATCAATTAGAGTTACATTCATAGCATTAGGATTACGTGCATGGTTTAAATCCATAATATTATTTTTTTATATTTTCAAGTAACAATATGTTTTTATACTTATTTTGTATAAGAATTTTTATTTCGTATATCTTTTTTAAAATAAATAAACTATGTTCAAAAAAATAATAAATATAAAACACTTCGGTTTTCGAAAAACAGAACCCAAAACACAAAAAACAGATACCTAAGGAGCTATAATAAATTTCAGAGCCATTCTAATGGTGATCACACCTTCACTGCGGTAGCTAGGGAAGAAAAAAGGAGATCTCCCTAGTCATTTATTCCATCATTATCATCGCCTAAAAAGATAATACACGAACTTGGGGTGAACTTGGGAGTGAAAGCTGTTGTCAGTACAAGAAGGAAACAAAAGATGCAAGAACATTAGACATTGCCTACAAAGAATTCTCATCCAACTGGAAAAAAAGCAGCAGATATCTCCACCTCTCGGGAAGGCCGCGGTTCTATCTTGATACGCCTACAAGGGCAAGATCAAGGCAGTATGGAGAAATAGCAGCTTGGACACTCAAAGTCAGGAATTGAACCCCATCCTTGAGCTTCAGGGGGGTCAATTTAATCTAACAGTGAAAAGGGGATGTACAGAGCCAGTGATCAAGAGATGGCATTTTAGTCTGGATTTATTGGACATCTAAAACCTGTCTGTCAAGCACCTGCGTATAGATACTGCGAGTTTGCTAACCTTATGAGGGTGCAGAACAAGGGCGCATACTCCAAAACAAACAGCAATAAGAGCAATTACATAAAATGAAGGCCGATACTTCAAGACTCTGTCAGAGAAAACGCGACCACGTGACTTCTTTGGCCTTTCATTAACAGGGTTCATCCTCATGACGATATCTTTAGTCAAAAGTGGAGACTCATCGCTTCTAACAGTAGAATTGGAGATTCCAATTACTCCCAATACACCATTTGGTCTTTGTTCCAAGTTCTGCAAATAAAGAAAATTCATATGATCCTTCAAGGAACATAAAAGGCATCAATAAAGCACTGCTCAGTCAAACAAGGTGAGACAAAGATCTCCCTATTCAAAAGTTTCCAAAATATGGCAGGTAGATACAGCACCGCATTGAACAGTAATATACAGCTGCATGATGCTGCTAATTCAGCTAGAAGAAAGTAAAACGATGACAAATTTTTAAAAATATAAAAAGAAAAATAAGAAAACCTCAAAACTTCATGGGTTGCAGATGCATCTGCTAATGGAAAAAACATCTCCTTGATATTTTTCTCAAACCAGTTGAAAATTTAAAATTTTTGGTACGTAAGCAGATCAAAACCATGCTTTAAGCAGCTCTGGATGCTTTTTGTCGATGCATCCATAAGAACACTTATCAAATATGTAGGCTGAAAATCTGGAGCATACAAGACAAGACACCATTGTCAAACTATTCAAAGCAAGTTGATTTCCAATATAAAAACGAGATTCTAAGTTGCAAAGGAAAAATCACTGCAATGAACTTTTAAGAGAATGAATCATAGTGATATGATGCATTTTCCAGAAATTGGAAGAGTCAACACTCAGAAATTAACCAAAGTTTCTTTTGCTGCTTGCTCTATGTGCATACAATTTTACCAGTTTGTTTCTTAAATTCAATATATCAAGTTACTATCCAAAAACCAAACAAAAGTAAACAATAAAGGTTAATGGAATAGTAATTCATGTAAAAACCATAAGCTTTCAATCCTTAATGACAAAACCAAACACATTGTTCGGAACTTGAAGTGATCAACATTGACATTCTTACCTCAGTGGAGAGAGCAACTGATTCCTTGTTGTTTCCACAGCAGCTTCCTGAAATACAATTATTGTCTCCTTCTTCTTTTTGACCCAAAATAATGTTAAAATATCCCCTCCAGCTTTCCATCCATGTGCTTGCCTTCTTGGATCAATGGATTACCCAAAATAAATCAATTGTTATTTGTTGTGTAGACATAAATCAATTTGCCTTCTTGGATCAATGGATTACCCAAAATAAATCAATTGTTATTTGTTGTGTGGACATGTAAGATCATGGATTGTGTTTGGGTTGATTTGGGGTTGATTTTGGGCTGATTTTGGGCTGATTTTGGGCTGAATTTGAGCATCAAATAAGTATACAAATGTACTTATTATTTGGGCTAAGATTGACATTGAAACCTTGAGTGTTTAATGGTTGAAGTTTGCACACAACATAAGGCAAGTTTGGGCTTGAAATAAATCATATGATATTCTTTTCTAGAATTGGAATAGAATTGATTTTTGGGACAAATTTGGAGCACTTATTTGAACCAAGATTTGCTTCAATCTTCAACTAAATGTCTCTTCAATTCTTTGTTCTGAATTCCGACATTGAATTTTCTGAATTAATTCATTTAAGCTCCAAAAACCTATTGAAACATTAAAACAAACTTCATTACTAAAAAACACATCAATTATTATAAAAACAACCAAATAAAAACAATAAATACATATGTAAAATAAAAGACTTAATGACACTTTTGATGCACAATCAATATATATATAAGCTTGTATTAGGATTTATTAAAACTAGTTATATGATACTAGTATATTGCAGACCTCTTGATCACGTGATCAAGCAACCCCTAGTAAAGTATATAACAACCTGAAAATTAAGTTTGATAAAACTTTGACCCAAAAGTAACCTTGTACTTAAGAACTAAAGGTATTAGAAAAAGACTTAGATCTAGGGATAACCATGTAGATAAGAGCCCTAAGTATGTGAATAACACCATGAAGTTAGTTAATCTTTGATAAGTCAGTATAAAATCTTTGTCTCTACAAAAAAAGGTTATTTTGCCACAAACAAATAAAAGAAAAACTCATATTTATTGTTTAACTTGCTGTTGAAATTTGCAGCTTAAAAAAATATAAAATAGTTTCATCTAACTAATTCTAATGAACTTCTTTTAAGTTGAAAGTTAACAAGCCTATACTAGTAATCAACTAACATAAGTCCAATAATAAAATAAACCCCTAAACAATGGTAATAGGCTGAAACAAACTCAAATTAAAAATAATTTTTTAAAATTAAATAAAAAAAAAAATAGAATAATAAAAAAAGTCTTCATGCTGAAATTCCTTCATTTAACCTGAATCTTTAATTTTTGTATATTCTTGGTAGATTTTAATCCTAACTACAAACACATCGTTCTCTCACATCTAAATAAATTACTGCTTCTACCATATATGGTTAGCATGCTTAAGATGTTTGGCTCCTTATATATCCCAAATAATACATAAAGGTCCAACTTCACATATTTGATAAGATTCATATAGTAACTTCGGCACTCTAAAATAATATGTTCCTGAAATTCATTTGACCTAAACATTTGCTACAATATATTTTCATATATCTAGCATCTCCATATAAGATTTCAAATCAACCTAATATATAATTTGAGAGATATGTCCGATCCTGTAAAACTGATCAGTATATATTTTAAGGCCAATTTCGAACCTAACTTGGTTCATATCATAGTATTTGTATGTATGGAATTAGAATTACACATGTAAGTTTAAACTCTTTATAAATAAGGTTAGATACTACTATAAACAATTACCAACTTTATATTCAATTACTATAATTTATTTATCTTTTTTCCCGTAAAGGGTTTTATTACTTTTTTCTTTATTACTTTCTTTATTTTCCTACACTTAAGATTCATGTAATCTCTTTTTGGCCAAAACCCCTCTTCTTTTATACAGTGGTGTTTTTTTTTATAACAAATAGCCCTTTCTAAGAGTTTGGGATGTAAAGTCCTTATTTCTTGTTTGATATAGTTAGTTGTTGCATCATTATAGATTCGATCTTAGATTTAATTGAAAATCATTTATAACTTGTACGTGTTTAAGAATTGCATATTCATCTTATAATAATATTTTTTATAAACTCAAATATATTAAAATTGAACAAAAGTTAGCTTTTCAAACATAAATATATTTTTAAAATAATCATAGTTCCAAAAAATTTGTTTAATACATCTGTTTCAATAGGATAAAGAAAATACAAGAATCCAACCAATAAGATTCAACTTGGCTCACATTTTTGTTCTTAAAGAACTCACCTTTTTTATAATTATATTGTTTACAACATATGCTATCGTTAAATTGCATGTTGTATGATTGTAAATTGTGAATTATGATAAAAAAAAATATTTATAAACTTTAGTATCACTAGAATATATATATATATATATATATATATATATATATATAAACCATCATTGCTCTATTAACAAAACAAACTAATATATGGAAACTTTATTTTATGTTCATATCTTCAAATAAATTGTCTTAACTACTAATTATGATTAACACATATTAAAAGCTAAAACATATAAAAATAAAAAAATACTTTATTAAAAAAATTAAGAAAATAAAAAATATGTTACTTCTTCAAAGTTCCTTAAAAATATAAAATGGTTCGATCTTTAAAATAAATATTGTTGGAAATCAATTTTTAAACACAAACTAAGCTAGATTGGTAAAATAAAATAATGGTTTAATCAAAGAGTTTTTATTCCTTTATTTATTTATGAAAAATAATTTGTAATATATTTTACAAGTTGATTTATTCATCTATATAAATCATACATAAATGTAAAACTTCATCTCATATATGGAAAGCATTTAATAATGCTACATGATTAGTATATACTAGCTAAGTTATCCATACTCTACTACGAGTGGATTTGAAAGCTAATGTTCAATGAAAAAAAATATTATACGATTGTTGAACACAATGAAAAAAATTAATTATGAAATTAGAATTTGATATATATGTTTAATAAAATAAATTAATGACTATATGTGTTAATAAATATTAAAAAGAGTTATTAATGATAACAAAAGACTAAATCAGAAAGCCAAGAGATAAATAGAAACTAAGAAATTTGATCTTGTGCCATAGGGAGCAATTTATTTTTTATTTGATTATATGTAATTTTGTTAAGAAAACCAATAATTTTAATTAAATAAAAACATTAATCTGTTAGCAGAATTCCTGATTTTCTTATGAAATGTTTTTTAAAAAATATATACGTAACCATTTTTTCCCTACGTTTCTTATTCAATAATAATAAAAATAAGTAAAATTAGAATAAATAAAAAAATTAAACAATTTGAAATAAGAATAAAAAAGGCATCTATATAATTACAACTCTTTTATATTATTAACACACTCCTTTTTTTATGACTTTTTGTTTGCTATAATATTTGTTTTTTATACAACATCTCATTATAATAATAAAATCAAGTTTAAATTAAAAATATATATCCTAGTCCATATAGTGGGTCCAAACATAATCAAGTCAAAATCTGATTTGACTTGAAAAATTATCATAATCAAATTTTGGATCCCTAAAAATTGTTTCATAAAAATAAATATTCAAAAATCCAAAAAACAAATAGAAATTCAATAAGCTTTCAAAATCCAAAACACCAAAATACTAGAGAATAGCCAAATTAGGAGATTTCGATAAAATGGGATGTAGAAAGAAAAAAAATTGAGGTTGAGATCCAAACTTGATAAAAATTAAAAGAATTAATTAAGTTTAAAGACTGAATTAAACTTTTAATGGGTTTTATGGATTCAATTAAGGATTCAATTGAAGAAAAATCAAGTTTGAAAGCCTAATTCAAATCAATTCGCAAAAGATTGGAATATTAAGGACAAATTGAAACTTTGGAAGGCCAAATTAGTGCAATCAAGGGTTCAATTACAAGAAATTTGAAATTTATAGGCCAAGTGAGGGCCAAATTAAAAAGATTCAAGACCAAAGACTTTTCTAGAAGAGGCACGCAACATTTAGGGATGTACTAAACTTTTCCAAGGACTAAAATGAAGAAAATCAAAGTTTAAAACTTAATTGGGGGTTAAATTGAACAAATTAGAAAACAATGACTACTTTGTAAAAAGCACCAGACTTGAGGGATCTCAATTGATTTTTAGTTGAGGCTTAATTGCATACAATTAGTTAGTTTTGCTTTAATTAAGGATTCCTCAATGGTAGAAATTTCTGCTTAATGGTAAAGTACTCGGCTTTTAAGTGCGGCTAACAACTTTTACATATTTTTATGAAGAAAGGGATTCGTCCATACCATCGGTATTATTTGTAAAACCACGACTGATCCTGAAAGGAATGAATGGAAAAAACACCATGTTGTATCAATGGAGAATTTTGAGAATATTTGATTCTTACCAGATCGACTCCAAACAAACCTTGTTTGAATTCTTGGTGCGTAACATAAAAACAAATGAATTCAAATTCAAAGTTGGGGTTGGGTCGAGTTAATAAATGGACAGAGCTCCGCGACTCCAATTATAGGGATTCAAACCCCCCCCCCCCCCAAAAAAAGGAGCCACTCCTTACTTAAGTTCCCAATAAAGACCAAGCAACATTTCATTAATTCATTCTTCTTTTTCATTTTTTTTTAGAATTTCTAAATGAAAGGTATGAGTTCGACACCCGCTTAGCCCATAGCTTTATGGCTTACAAGAGTAGCTAGCATTGGCTCTTTGCCTTTGCTTTAGGTTTGCTTTAGGGCAAACATTGATTGATACAAGGAAAAAAAGAGAGAATGCACAGCTACGTAGCTAACCCAAGGTTCTGTCTTTCCTTAAGGAAGTGTTAGCTTGCTAAATGTATCCCCTCCTCCTTAAAAAATGGCTTGTGACACAAGTCAAGATGCAAAAATAAAAAAAGACTAAAAATTAGGGTTTTCTAATTGGGATTTGGATAAATTTCAATTTGGTCCCTCTTATTATCATTTAAGTTGACAATATATCACTCATTTTTAATGAAGAGATTAAGTGGC